CATGAACAAAGTTGTTTACCTCAAGATTCATGCAAAATACAGAATTAACTTTTTAATTATTTACGCAGAACAGTACTATTAATAACCTATATACACGTATATAGTTCTTTATTCCTTTCATCTTTCTTCATGTATTTTATTGAGCTCCTTCTAACATTTTTTTTATACTGTCAATATTGTTTCTACACACGTCAACATGATGGAAATGTTAGAAAAATATGCATGATTTTTTTCAAAAAAAATAATATACTTTGCTTAATACTGGTATCCGCCGAGAAATATTTGAAAAATAGTTTAATATTTAAATTCAATGAAAATAATCCTCATTGGACAACTGGAGGAAAAAAGGCTGTCACTGACAATAACATGAGTGGTATGCTAATACTTGTTAGCATCTTTTTAATTAACTTAATCCGCCATTACAACATATATATAATTGAAGATTTTCTATTCTCTTGTTTTACCTAACCCCAAACATGGCATGCTCGTATTTCCCAACAATCGTCACAATTACTTCTAATTAAGTGGTTACCAACTTATGATTGGCCAATCATTTTACGTCGCGCCCACACACAATATTTAATTTAACATGAGAATAATTAAGTAATTACCGTTATCGATATGATTAAAAAATTTATATGCAATTTTTATATTCTTTTATGTAATAAATTTCAAATTAAATATAATGACTATATCCATATAATTCTGAAAGCTCAACATTTTTATAAAAAAATAACACGACATTATTTATTCAAAATTAATAGAAGTAAAGAAGTTCCGTTCAGATTTTTGAACGACATAATTAGGAGATAATCTTTATACAATAAGTTAAATAATCTGGATATTGGTTTGGGAGAAAGGCATGGTTGGAGATACAGGGTCTCAAATGGCATGACGTTTGGCCTATTAATTTTAATATGAAGGGAGGGACATAAAGAGGAATGTCTCTCATTGCTTAACAATTGCATGGACTCTAATGAACTCTTTTTCTTTTTCTTTTTTGTTGGGTCAAAATCTCTAATTAACAATTGCTAGGAAAATACAAATATGTAATTTGTTATTTACTGTTTTTTTTTTCGGTTGGACAAAAAAGAAGCATATCCCCTTATTGAAAATAACCGTGCTGGAGACATTTCTACGCATACACACACATATAAAGACATACAATGATCACATCATGGGTATCCTGATATAAAGGGCTTGTTTGGATTGACTTATAAGTAGCTTTTCAAACGTGATTTACGGAATACGAGGTAAGTATGTGAGGAGAGTTTTGTCTCGACTTACGTGAACTTGCTTAAAAGCCCGTTTTGAACGGAGCTCCAAACAAGCCCAAAATCCGGGAAGGCCGCGTTAGATGTCACCTTGGATTTTTGTACACAGGCCAGTTATATATTCAGCCCATAATGAGCCCAAAAAGGTTGAGTCTCCGGACATTTGTTACAGGCCTCACAAATAGTCTTTTTTTTGTGATACAAATGGTCATTTTATATAATGGGCCTGTCTACAAAATGAAAGAGAAGCATTTATGCACCATTAATTTTTTGAGCAAAATGTATATTCATTATTTTTAAAGCACTTGAAGTAGATAAATTATCAAGTTATCAATATAAATGCGGAAGACGTGATTAGTTGGGTTGTTTAGGTAAAGTATAGTTTTAATTGGAATTAAGTAAGTAGGAGGGGGGAGTAAATGATAGTTGTAAAATGTAAGTAAGATGTGAAAGGAATAAATGATTGAGAGGAAAAGAAGTAGGGTGCTTTATGCCATGCCCCTATACGTTGTATTATTCCACATTTATAAAAATATAGAAAAACCGCCGTCTATTTAACTATAATATCCTTGATCAGCTAAATAACTGCATCAATCCTGTTAATTAATTTGTAAAATTTAAGAAAAGTATACTAGTATTAATTATTTATTTAAAATTAATTAAATAAATATATATTATATTTAGAAGCAAATAAAAAGGTTCAAATGTGTCTATGTGCCAGGCAGTCCAGTTTATGAATAAATGTAATAAGTATCCTATGTTTCACTGAAAAGAACCTCTGCAGCCCTACTCTCTGCCTTTTGTCTTCCATTTTCCCTCACTCTCTTATTTTCTTCTCCACGTGAGGGCTCTTCCTCTTCTTTCTCTGCAACTCTCAAGTTTCAACCGTTTGAGGCTCCACATTTGAATGGGTTGAACATATATTTTGAGTGATTTCATCCAAAAAAAAAAAACCAACACAATATTTATCTTCTTAATTTACAAAGAAACTGAATTAATTGCAGGGACCGCCAAGTTATATCTATCTGATACTCATAGTCTCCATTTGACATTTTATAGCTATCTGATCAATCATGACACGTCTCACTTATAGTCTCACTTAGATTCAACACACACTGTGCCTTGTGTATATGGCTAAATTAAATAGTGTGGAGTGTGAAAGAGGGATCTGATTGACGACCTTGATCATCATTCACCAGTTCGCCCATTCGTAGGCCGCAACCCTACACAGTGAATCGATTCTAGCATACCAGCCTTGCATTTATATTTATGATCAATACTTTGATGATACTACGTACGCAGGACTTCTTGTTGTTGTTTTTATTTTCCGGTTCGTTTGTTCATATTTTGTCCTAAAGAAAAGGATATAGCAGACAATGTAAAAGATACACAAAGGTGGGGTCTCGTCTTGTGGCTTCCCATCCTTATCTATGATATATATCGCACACATTGAATACTCAAGTTAAGTATCTAAAGTTAAGTCTCCTTTCTCTGTATAACCAAGTGAGTTACTCTCTCTGCTCTTCCATTGAATATTCTCTCAAGTTTCGATTGATAAGGGCACTTCGTTCTCTTGCTCAGCTTTTTCTTTGGTTATTATTATTGCATTCCTGTTCCTTTTACCAAAACAAAGTTACTTTCGAACACACCCCCCCCCCCGGGGAAAAAAAAGTGTTATTGACAAAACAACAGGTCTTCAATTGATTATGCTAGCATTTCTGCGAAAACAAAAATGAAAAAAGGTTTTCATTTTTATATTTTGGACATGCAGGGTGAGTTTGTAAGGATGGTAGTTTCCTATACCTAGCTATAGTCGTGATTAAATGCCAAACCGGGAAATAGTTTGGGGTGTCTCAGTTCTGTGTAATGCTTTGAACTGACCAATACGTATCATTCCATTTAAGGAAAGGCCATCATACCCATTTGACGCCCAGACATTGTCGGGAACATGCAAGCCATCGGATTTTGGGAAAAAGCTTTCGCCCCAAGACCCCACTGGCCGAATCATTTTTATAGAAATTGATAGGCCAAACCATTTCAACTCATACATGAATGATAGAGATTGCTTACGTTCTATCGTCACTTTTTTCTTTTTTCTGTTTCATTTTTCTTAAAGCATATTTCGTCTTCTTCCTATCAGTAATCATCAAAACTGGGGTACTAAAGTTATGCTACATTTTTCAAAAAGTGACATTTCTCTTTGGCTATCGGCCGGTGAGATGTTCAGAAGAGATCGAAATCATACTACCGCTCACACACACACACACACCCTACTGCTTTTTGCTTCTATCTGTCTTTTCTTTTCTTTTATTTAGAAAACTATGATTGTTTTGAATATACACACTTTTTTCTTTTTCTTCTTTCCGAGAAGAAGTTTGTTCTCTCTAGTGGGTTCTCACTTCTCAGCAAGACAGCAATATGCAGCTTAAGATGGTTTGTAAACCCAATTACAAAAAGCCACATATGAAGCAGGTATTATGCATATGTGCCTGTGAGAAAGGTGTCAGGATCTTGAATCAGCAAAAGCAAATAGATGTTATCATTGGTAAATTTCTTGATTGTTCTAAATTACCCAAATCGTTTTCCAAGCGCCCAATATGGTGAATAAGGTAGTCAAACAAATGGAAAACTGGGTTAACTTTGAAATGAAGTAGATCCGTGTTAGGCCGTATGCTTGTACAGTGATCATAATGAGGTTTGTGTTGGAACTTGGATCAATAATATTATGCACTCATGTCAGAGTAACTGAAATAATGAATTACATAAATTCACTGTAAAGCGGGTCACATCTGTAAATTGCACGGCTGAATTTTCAATATCTGATTGACGTCAGTTATCCACGACAAAAGGTACTTAAAACTTCTATTAGCGAGCAGTGACTTGCAGCAATTTCTCTGAGATGCAGCGGCTGATCTCATTCAGTTGGTGGTGGAAATGTTGATAAAAAAGAAAAATAATTGAGAGTACAGCACAGGGACCTATGAGAACTAGTGTTACAAACAGAAGATTGAAAATCGTAGATTTTGAAAAGATATCATGCCTAAACTCAATACTTGAATAATGTTCAGAACTGAAATCTATTTGCTCGAGAGGTTCAGCCGTATAATGATTAAAATCCTGTGGTGATTAAAATTGAGACGAAAGGTTAGTGCTTATAACCTTGTTTCTGATGCGATTAGGCTACTTACACGTAATCAAGGGCAGTTCTCTTGTCAAATAATATGATACGTACTTTCAGTTTAATATTTGTAACCAACCATGAACTATATATCGAGCACATACACATTGCCAGAAAACCAAGTAACCTAGCTAGAGATAGATACGAACAATCACAACTAGCTAGTCGAAGGCAAGTGCAGGTACAGTTCATACACAGGCACCCGACAAGCTGGCGGGGGAGGAGGGATAAGGGTAGTCTAATAAGGTAAAATGAAAATACCTCTCTATATATATAGGAAGAAATTCAGTAAAGGCAGTCAAGTACAACAAATTGAACTTGATAAGATGGTAGCTTCTCATGCTTTACCAAGTAATGGAACCGAGAGATTTCATCTCTGTATATGGTCTCTCGTTAAACGATAAAGATGGTAAAGATAAATAGATTTCATTATGCACAACACTGCTCCATAGATAACTTCTATCTAACTCTTCGAATCGTTAGTTAACATAGTGAACTATCTATATATAAAAGCGCTACTTCTTCACATAATGCAAGGAATATAAAATCTAGGAGTAAGTGCCCAATCGAAGCTCCAGATCTAAATCATCCTTGGAATCGCTAAGCAAGCCTATATGCAAGTCCAACCTAATGATCTCAGCCTTTTTTACCACTTTGCAACCATCTTCTTTGGCGAATGGGTCGTCACAGTCTCCAAACCCCAATAAAGAATCTGCATTCTTCACGTTTGTAGATTCTGAGGCCTTCGTGCTTGAGGGGTTCAACATTATACCGTCCACAACCCGATTTTTGAGATCATAAGAAGGAGATGTAGATGCAAGGGGAGGAGAAGACGGAGAAAGTATAGGAGAAAACAAGGAAGGTAAGGTGGTAGCAGAGAATGAATTTTTGAGCATTGTAGAAGAAGAAGAAGATGGTAACGAGGACATAGTTGGGGTTGAAAAGCCAGGACCAGAGGTAGGGTTAAGATTTAGGTTGAGCATGGGGGAGGGACTGTCATGAGATGGAGTAGGGGGTGACTGCCTGAGCCTGGCTCTGTCCCTCCTATGTACATTCATGTGGCCACCAAGGGCTTGAGCAGATCTGAATTCCCTCTTGCAGAAGCTACAAGTGTATGATCGTGGAGGCCACGAGAATCCATTTATATAATCATCCCCTCCACAGCTGATCTGAGATTTGCAGTCCCAGTATTCTTTCATCATTTGTTTCTTGTTGCTGTTGGTGGTGAAAGTGCCATCTTTAACGCTGGTGTTCAAACTCTTTCTCTCCATCTTCTATCCCCTTTTGATTTCTCAGTCAGATCACCTACAGCAATAGTTTGAACAAAAACTGGAAACTGTCAAACTCAAATCATATATAGACTTAAAAAAATTAGTTCAAACTGAGATAAGGGCTCATATCATATATCATATCTCTCAAAAGTTGCGACTTGTGAGTTGTGACCACCAAGCTAGCTAGAGGGGGGGAGGTTAATATAAGGCTTAGTACTTACCTGAGAAGAAGACTGATGGTGGTGGATGAATGAGCAGCCTGAGGGTAATAGTAACTGGTATAAGTAGAGTTTTGGAAAAAGAGCATCAACTTTACAAGCCAAAGGCCGGGAATCACACTGGTTACTAAATTTGGAAACTCATACTGCCAGGGTTACACTTTTATGCCATAATTTTTTCACCGGTCTGGTAAATCTCTCTCTCTCACACACACACACGCACTTCAATTTCTTCTCGGTAAAGATCCAACAATTAACTCCTGGATTTTTTTAACAGTTGCGCAGGGTAAATATGGAACATTAGGTCATAAATGGAAGTGGAGGTATGATTTCTCGTGGCCAATCAAAAGCCAGCATTGGGATTGGGATTTGAATTAGGAAAAAGGTATATCATCACGATCTTGCTCGTTTATTAACGTATCGACGCTACTGCAATAATTGAGGTTAATTACTCATTGAATTTTGACCATCTCAGTTAAATATTACTCATTATAAGAGACATTTGATGCTATGGCATTTCCTATATAAGAGACACTTACAAGTTGTCTCTACTTTTTGTATGATTTACTATTTTACCCATATTTATTATTTCCAACTCACACTCTCTCACTTCTCTTTCTTTAATAATTTAATGTTCTCTCTCATGTTCTCTCTCCTTATTAATGAGGGCATTTTTGGAAAAAATTATACTTTTGTTCTTAACTAATTTTAACTGTTATCAACGTACTTCGGTTATTTGTCTCTTATAATAAGGAACGGGAGTACTATATAAAACACTACATATATGGCCATTCTCACTTTCTGTGCTAATGACCAATGAGGTCTACATTACGCTTTAATTCACGGCTAACGGGAAAAAAAGAAGATAACTCACTCTCGATACATAATATGTCATCAATTCCCTTATATTTAACATTGCACTTGTATATAAATTTCTAATGTCTGCTCTAATTCTACAAGAAAATCAAAGATATACTTGAGTGTTAGTCGATAAAACTGTTTAGTAAATTGCAGAATCCGTTCATTTGTTAAGTGAATAGAAGCATTGGTGATGAATTTACTGATTAACCGACAGCTTTTGAGTAAATATGATGAAGTATGTACGCATTTGACTAGAGAGAAGTTTGGCATTTCTATGGGCCATGGTTCAACTTGACAACAAAATAAATTCTGTTGGAGCACACCAAATTAGAATGCAGAGATGCGATGTTGTCTAATCAGATGCAGGTATTAGGTACACTAGCTAAGGTTACATATTAAGCTCTTTTCAAATCTGCGACGCGCCGAGTCTTTTCGCCTGCGGGCAAATTTAGTACTCAAGGTATTGTTGACTCTTCGCTCCAGGCCATGTGTCACATTACCCATCAGTTAGATGAAAATAACCAGTAGATAATACTGTGCTCATCTTTCAGGTAACTATCTAAAATAAATTTAAGATACAATTGACCGTCTCTATAATAAAAAAGAAACGTATATTATTTGTGCATAATACAATAAAGGAAAATATATTTGATCAATAAAAATTAAGGAATGTTTTCAATTCAAATATATATATTCGATTGATAATGACACTCTGCCAGGAAAAAAAAAGCAGCATTGAAATTATCAAGTTAAATTAATTATATTTTTATGAATTATTATCATTCAGAATATTTTGACCATATTTTAACTTCGTTTATACTTTTGTAATACAAAGAAAATTTGAGTAATTGAGGCGTCAAAAACAGCAATTTTCCTTGTTGTATAGAACCATTAGCTATAGAGCGGGAAGTGGACTAGAGGATGTACATTATAGGATCAAAATTTTCTTTGTTATTGATACCTCGTATAGGAATATCATGTGACATAAGAGGCCTGGAGCAACTTCATCACGAACGATCTTACACAATATATTAATTGAGATATCGATCCTGACAGAGGAATTCGAAGAACTGATAAAATATTATATCAACAAAGATTGATTCTGACAGAGATGGACGAACTGATGATAAAAGCACTGCCAGATAATATATCTAGGAGGGTCATTAGTATGTACAAGAGGTTGTAGCTAGGTAGTTGAGTGTCTTAGGGCATTTATTTCCATGCCAGGTTCGGTGTCAGTCAGTGGTGGCAATCTGAATCACCAGAAAGCTCAAATTTCTTAAACTGAACTTGGTTCCTAGATTGAAGACTCCAAACCAGCATAAGATGAGAACTTGAAGTATATCATCGTTGGCAAGCTGTCTCAATCCAGAAACTAGAGCAGTGCAGGAAGATTTCCTTATTTCCATTTTGTGATGAAGAATGGAAGGAACGTGATCAGAGAAGCTCAGATAGACAAAAGATCATGCTATATCCAACCCAGATTCATCAAAAGATGAAGCAACGTGATGCTAAATATGGGTTTGATTTTATGAGGTTGTAGAGCCGAAATTGCAGGTAATACCCAAAGTGTAACAAGGTGCCGTCTCTGCCGCTCATATTTGTTAGTCTTTCATCTTTTACCTGCTGGATCTGGCTCTTATGTATAATCAATAATGAATGCTTACCATGTTTATGCATGACAAAAAACGCAGATAAGAAAGATTCCAGCTTCAATATGCTTATATGTGTGTGTCTCTCTCTCTATGTGTGCATTGGAGTCTCGTCCATCAACGAAATGGCTCTCTCTTATCGGAAACTCTCTGTCATAAAAGAATAAAACAATTAGATCGATATCTGTGTTGGTTTTTTCTGACTAGTTGAGGTTGAGCGATGCATGTGAGCCATAGTATAAACTAAAACTATAAAGGACGCATTGGCTGGATCGGTTTAGGATGCTTTTTATGATACCGACAAGTAGTAAAGCTCTTTTGTCCTCTAAGTTACGCTAGGACTTGTGATTGGTCTACAAAGGGCTATACATATAAGTAACAAAGGTTTTTAATTTATTTATTATATTAAAACAAAAACTTTAATTTCCATTAAAAAAAACAAAAGCTTTAAAAGTGGATTTTATTAATTTCTTAAAAAATGTCATAAATTATTATTATTAATTAGACACATTTTCTGACAAATCACACACACACGTACAGTTTTATCAATGAGCGAAACAGTTTTTTAAACCAACGTTCACTGTGTTTATACATTGCGAATCTATGCTTTATTACATATTATTACATTGATTTAATTGCCTAATTTACTTACGTTTTGCGCACAAACAATTTTCTGAAATCTCATAAATCAGGTAAGAGAAGATAAAAATATATATATTTGCAATACCTATTGTGTTTATGTAATTATATTCGATAATTTTAGAATTTTTATTATCTTTTAAAAGAAGATACAAAATTATGAGTTCTTAGAAACATGTTTTTTGGTACGAAGTTTTTTTCCCCTTCATATGTAACTAGATCTTGGACTTCGCTTTCGAAAAATTGCATTCCTCAGTCTCTATGAATAACGACATGTAAATGATAAACGGGTCAGAACTAACTCATTGTGAATTTTTGGTGCTTCCGCGGTACTTGGGCCAAAAGATGACCTTCGGCCCAATACCTTCTCCTAATTTTGCACTGCGGGGCACCATATGAGCCCATTTGCAAAAACTCCTTTTAGAGCCCAGTTCTACCTTAAAGTCATTTTAAATCATAAATCATATCCTATGCGTCACCCAATGAGAGTTGATAGTGGACCCGAAGTTATTTCCAAGTTGTTACTTTTTTTCCGCCGACCCTAATTGTTACCATCAACATGTAGTTTTTGGCAAATTGTTAAGAGGTTGGGTTGTAACAATAAAAAGAACATATGGCTCGTGGGATGTGCAAGACCTGCCAAACTAAAACCAAAGAATATATATATATATATATGCATGTATATATTCATTTGGTGATAAAAGGATCACAAGAAAGCAAGATTACCAAAAAAAAAAAAGAAGGGAAGAAATATATATATATATATATATATATAAATACACACATTTATATATGATTCAACCCTTTAGATTGAAGCAAAATATTTATCTAAATTGAAAACAGAATCTCTGCGATGTGTTTTCGCTTATGTCACTTCACACATTCCTGGACAGCGCATAAAATACCAAACCCGCAAGAGTGGCCAGGACGGCAAATATTACAGCTACTGAAAATGGAATACGCCCCTTATCTCTCCTAATGACCAAACCTTCAATAACAGGATAATTTAGAACAATAATATAAGCTGAAAGGATCAGATGAATGAACATACTATCCCAATCACCCACAAAAACAGCCCTATAAGTACCCACTGTGAAGCAAGCTATGTTGAGGGTAAGGAGGGCAAGCACTGGTACAAGGAATATATTTGATGCCCTGAAATCAAACTTGTCCATTTGATATAGCCCCGTTTGCTCATCATCCTCCACTTTATTGGTGGGCAAGAAATTAGCTTCTCTTATGCCAAATTTCTTCATCACAGCATCCAAACATCCATATAGATGGCATGTGACTGATTTTATCATCCACATCCTCTCTTCATTAATCCACTGATAAAGTGTTCCTCCACTTATAAGGACTTCCAGTAAATGCTTAGAAAGTGCTGACACAAAAATGAACAACACGACCAGGAAATATGGGTCTGAGACCTATCAAACACTCAAAAGAACCAAAGAAAGAAAAAGAAAATGAGTTTAAATATTTGAAGCAGTTATGGGGAAAATAGGAGCAAAGGAACTTTATAAGACTAAACTATTTGGTGTCTGAATTAGTAAGCGTTTTCAACTTCAGTCAGCAAATGCACAAGTTAAATCTTGAGAATAACAAACTTAGTGCATGTTAATCCTTCAGG